CTCTGTCATTGGAGATGGGATATAGCCTAGTGGTTATATCGCTAAATGCAGCGTAAAACCATACTCACTCACTCTTCCTTTGTGGATTTATTTCTCTGTGTATGCATATTCGTTTTTTATCAAATCCATATTATGTAATTTGTGTTTGCGTCTTGAGTGTGCATGTCGAGTCCATGTGTGTACTTTGACTTTGTTTCCACACTGTGCATATATTGGTTTGCATGTAATCTTACAGTACAACCAGAAATTATTGAGAATATAAAGATTTTAATTTTTTTTTTTTTCACTCATTACTCACGTGTTAATGTGAATATTAGCAGAACATAACTCCAGATTCAAAGACAGGTGAACAGTTAGTATTTTGTCAAGTCACCATAGGCAGCTGTGCAGGCTTCAATGCGGCGGGGCATACTACAGATCAAAGAAGTTAGAAAGTCGTGGTCCATGCTGTCCCAATATCGGACCACCTCTTCTTTCATTTCAGGGGGCGGTGGGGTAGTCTAGTGGTTAAAGTGTTGGCTCGTTACACCGAAGACCCGGGGTCGAATCCCCACATGGGTACAATGAGTGAAGCCCATTTCTGGTGTCCCCCGCCGTGATATTGCTGGAATATTGCTAAAAGCGGCGTAAAACCAAACTCAGTAAGTCAGTCTTTCATTTCAGCAATATTTGTCAGATTTTTCTCGTTGACACTTTCCTTCATAAGTCCCCAAACATTTTCTATTGGATTTAGGTCAGGGCTATAGCTTGGCCAATCTTATAATGTCATATTTTGGGTCCGAAACCAGGCCTGTGAATGCTTTGAACGATTTTTTGGGTCGTTGTCCTGCTGGAAAATCCAAAACTTTCCATAGAACACGTGAGCAGATGGAAGTAAATGTCCCTCGAGAATATCTGTGTACCGATCACTGTTCATATTCCCTTCAAATACACAGAGGGGCGTTGCCCCTAACACAGATATGCCACCCCACACGTTACATTTCGGACTGTACTTTGGGCGCTGATACAAAGATTTTTCAGTTTGTTTGGTCCAGAATTTCAGTGTATTAGGAAACAGCCACACAGAACTTTCATCTGAGAAAATCACATTGTCCCAGTTAAAATTTCTATGCTGTAAGCACCAGTTCAACCTTCGCTCCTTTTTGTTCAGGTTTCATGATCGGTGATGGAATTCCTCGACTTTTCTGCCAACCCATTGCATGCAGCTCAGTTCTAATTGTCTCCTTACAGACAGCCACAGTTCCTCTATCAATCATATCCAGCCTTAAGTTTTCTAAACTCCTTCGTTTGTGTTTAGAAACAAGAATACCAAGCCGCCTCCTGTCACCGACAGTCAATATTCTGGGCCTACCTGTGCCTCACTGGTGCTCAATGCCATATCCATTTGCAATATTTGTAAAAACACATAAACAGTGGACAAAGGGATGCCTGTTCTACTTGAAATCACTTTAGCTGATCTGATGTCCTTGTTATAATACTCTAAAATCAACTTCCTCTTCTCTAAATCATCCATACTGAGGATCACTCAAAATGTCGTCTGCTAGCAAGTAAACAAAGGGGGGTAACTCTTCACAAACTAATGAAAAAGGATTAACGGAGTTGTTTCTCTTGAATGAAACCAAGCACTTGATAGCTGGTCAAGGTTGTTTATACTAGAAATCCAATTAAACATATTCCTAAAATTCTCAATAATTTCTGGTCATACCATAGTTCTGCGAGTTTAACTATGAAGGATATACAATATCTGCACAGTTAGCACACATTACATGCTTACAGATAAAACAAAGTATCAAAGTTATTAGGCATTCTCTGTTAATGAAAAAGGACAATGTGATTAAAGCTGTAATTGAGTATCTCCGACTGAAACAGTAATTAATTTCCAACAGCCTTACATGGGGACATGGTATCAACGTGAGACGAGGAGGGCACCAGTTCAAGAACAGGGAGCCTTAATTGGGGATGACCAAGATCTGGGCCGCTCAGCTACCAGCAATGGCCAAGATTATGCTAATATGCAAAGCAACTGCATAAAAATGGTGTGTTTTTCCAGTGTGTTGTCTCCATGGTTGCAATTCATTACTGGTTTGGAACTCATCAAACATCTGGGTCTGGCAAGTATAATACAAATGACCCTTTGCTTTGCACTCTGCTGTGCCCATGTTCGCCAGTCATGAGGCATATTTGATTCCCACCATGGATACAACCAGCACCTGTTTCTGGTGTGATATTGGTGGAATATTCTTAAAAGCCCTGTAAAATTATACTCATTCATTCACTCACACTCACTCAGACGTTTCACAGGTATGGCATGGACAAACCTGTCCATAAATCCCAAACTGAAAAACCTGAGAACCCGACAAACCAATCCCCATTTTAATAATGTGTGTGTTGGGTTAATGATAATTTTAAAGAGGGGAGGGGGTGTCACCCATTTTGTTCTGGGGAACTAGGGGGATCAGCAATTTTGTACATAAAAGTATGTTTAAAGTTGTGCTTAGAAATTATGAGGAGGGTGGGGGTGGGGTGTGCATTGATTTTGTACATGACATGCAGGGGGGTCACTTATCAGTACATAAATTTTAGGGGGGCCATTCACATTGTACATGCTTCTCCATAAAAATCATACCCCCCAGCCATCAACCCATCCGAGTCATAAACTAGAATCACGACAATTGCTTTTGAAACAAACAGTATGAATAAGTGTTAATATTACACAAGAGACAATGGTTAATGTATGTTTTATTTATCATTATTAATTATCACAAGATGAGGTGAATTGGATATAAATACAGACATCATAGAATGCAAGCTATTATGATAAATAACAGGTGTGAAAGGTGTTCATAAAAATAATAATTCATTAACAAAGAAATGACCAACAGAATGATGGTTAAACAGTATTATGGAAATTAATAAAGCTCTTACATCTTTAAACAATAATAATAATGATAATGATACATAAACACAGACTGGCCTGAATAAACAAGTTGACTTAACAGTTTTTCTTTTGCTACTTTATATGTAAATGCCACACACGCACAAACACACAGACATACACATTGCTAGTTCATTTTGCAACATACCAATAGTTAGACAATATTTGATTTATATATGCAAACCAATGCAAAAATAGCATCAATAGCACTTTCAAAAGTTTGTTACCAAGCTACAAATTCTGGCCAGAGAATCACACGATCAGCTATGAAACATGTACAAGGCACTCATGACAGTAAGGAAGTGGGCCCTTTTCCCTGCACTTGAAATTCAATTAGATTCACAGGGTCCCATATTAGGTTCACATAACCCTAATCAGATTCACAAGACCCTCAGCCCCTCAAATTAGACCCATAATTCATATCAATGTACCATATGATATATGATACGACCATCATTGAAGCAGCTTATGTTTCAGTCCAGACTGGTTTAAAAAATTAATAGTTAGTGCAGGCAGTCTGAATTTCATTGAAGCTTACCTTAAAATCTGTCACAAAATATGTATATGATATAAAATCACTATGAACAACAAATCTAATAATCCAGTCATTCAACTTAAACACAAACTGGTTGACACCAACAACCTCTTGCCAAATTAATCACACTTACTCCTGGTATACAGCAAATGTCACTACAAAATTCCTGAATGGGGATTTTAACATGGCTGTGATGGCTCTGTACAGGTGACTTTATTTGTGTATTTTGAAACCCCAAAAGGGTAAGAGGCTTTAATGCTTAACTCTTCATTACAGCACTGAATGCAATAATACAGTACACTGAAAAACAACATATTTAACAAAATATTTGTCTCCATTTTGCCTGCCAAGGACTTTAGTTTTAAACACAAAACAAATCTCTGGATGCCTATCATGACTCCATGACTGAGATATGTATTGATACATACGGAGGCATATTGTGAGATTCCATATTTGTATTATCACAAGCATTTGAAAACAAAAATATATCTTCATCTGCCCCTGAGGAAATGAACTGTCAACATCTGTTTGGAGTCATATGCTGTATTCCTAAAAATCTTTTACACTCTTTTTTCAGTTGTGAGTGAGCGTGAGTTGGGAATAATGACACATTAAACATTATTCCACTTATAACCAGGTGTTTTATCTAAACATGAGAGGAAAGCCTCATGTGATGTAGGTGCCAGATGTTTACCACTTTAAGCATGTGAATGGTGCTTAAACACAAAGAAACAAAACCACGCAAACTGTGATTTGAACACAAGACCTAACCCTTCTATTATGCTAAAACTACACAACTGTGCACAGTGAATATGGATGACTGAGACGTTGGGCACATCCATGACAAAACTACACAACTGTGCACAGTGAATGTGGATGACTGAGACGTTGGGCACATCCATGACAAAAAACCAAAAGACACAACTGTGCACAGTCAATTTGAGTGACTAAAACCTCAGACACATGCATGTAAATAGAACACAACTGTTCACAGGGGCAGTGGGGTAGTCTAGTGGTTAATGTGTTTGCTCATCACGCAGGGTTCCATTCCTCACATGGGTACAAAGTGTGAAGCCCATTTCTGGTGTCCCCTGCAATGATATTGCTGGAATATTGCTAAAAGCGTTGTAAAACCAATCTCACTCACTCCACTGTGCACAGAGAATGTGAATGACTAAAACCTCAGACACATGCATGCAAAAAGAACACAACTGTGCATAGCAAACATGGATGACAGAAAGTTGGGTATATCAATGGGCACCTTCAGTTCTGTATTGTAATTTAGCCCAATCCTATTCGTTGACATGACATCCCAAGCATCTCAGCTGAACCTGTTACAGTCTTCATACACAGAGTCTAATGTCACACACAAATACTTGACCAAAATAGACTCATGAAGATCTGGGTTAGAATTGATCTTCAGTAACCCATGCTTGTCGTACAAGGCAACTAACGGGATAGGGTGATCAGGCTCGCAGACTTGGTTGACATGTCATCGTATCCCAATTGCGTAGATCGAGGCTCGTGCTGTTGATCACTGGATTGTCTGTTCCAGACTCGATTATTTACAGCTGGAAAAGTGCTGAGTGCGGCGTAAAACTAAACTCACTCACAAACTTAACCCAAATAATCTTCATATATTGTAAACTCTAGATGATATAGGCTCAGTTGGGTAGCCTAGGCTCAGTTGGGAAGCCTAGTGGTTAAGGCTTTTAGCTGATCATGACAAAGACCCTGGATAAATTCTTGGGTACAATGTTGAAGCCTGTTTCTGGTGTTCCCCACGATGATAATCCTGATATATTCCTCAATTCCTTGACGTACCTCAAACCCTCAAACCCTTCTCAATCATGGTATACAAACCCATTGAGCTCATAAAACCCCCACCCCCACCCATCCACTGCTAATGATACAGTGACTCATTTTCCAGTGCTCATTTTTCCAGTGCAGAGATGGATCCATGTTTCTCAAAGGCAGGGTCATTGGTATTCAGATTGAGACAGTGGTGGTTAAATCCAGAATATGGGGATCCCGACGCGCGCCATACCAAAATCCATGTTTCATTAATGGGTAGGCAGGATGCGGTTAGTCAGTATAATGAGTGGGGTATTCATGCTTCACTGCGGCATGGTATCTCAGTGGACTAGCACTATAAAACCAGCTTCAGTCTGGGCTAGTACAAGCAGCCGCGACATACACACATACGACGCTGCACGCCGTCATATGAGCGAAATTTAAACCCAATCCACCACCACCACCACAGATTGAACTGAATTGACTGACTGGTATGTAACCTTCATCAGTATGATGAGATTATTATGACTTCCCACCATCAAACAGTTTCTTGCCTGGCATTGCCATTTGATGTTAATTCTGTTCATCAGTAATAGACTCTCCTGAACTCCCCTGGTTCAATAAAGAATTCATACTGTTAAGAATTCCACAGATGGTGAGCAAATAACCCTCCATGGTTGAGTCTGGACCACTGGTATTGATTGGTAACCTTCACTGAATTTAGGCATGAGATTATTATGACTTCCTAGCATCAAACAGTTTTCTTGTCTGTCATGGCTATTTGATGTTAATACTGTTCATCAGTAATAGACTCTCCTGGACTCCCCTGGCTCAGTAAAGCATTGATACCATTGAGAGCTCCATAGATGGTGAGCAAATAACCATCCATGGTTCACGGACCAATTCATCTTGAGAGCTCTATTTCTGGTGGAAAGGTACACATCCTTATCATTCTCCTTCAACAGCCAGGCTTTGATGATCCTATCAACATTGGCTCACAATGTAAGGTCGATAACATCCCCGGTCTTCCCATGGTTCACGGACCCATTCATCTTCTTGAGAGCTCTACTTATGGTGGAAAGGTGCACATCCTTATCATTCTCCTTCAACAGCCAGGCTTTGATGTTCCTCAGAGTAATGGTTGGGTCGGCTGTCTTCAGCTGTTTAATGAGCTGCATGTCCTTCAGCGTCAGCTTCTTGTTGTTCGTCACCTCCAGACCATCCCACTCCCCTTCCATCCTGACATCCACCACTGCCTTCAGCTGGTTTCCAGAATATGTCTCATCCTCAGCATCTTCTTGGAGGATGTAATCTGGTGATCCTGAATACAAATTACCTGACAAATCATATGATGTCCTGTGTGAGAAGTTATCACTGTTGCTAGATTGAACACATTCATCAGAATATGCCACCTGGGCCTCTGAGCATTCATCAAACTGAGATTCATCCAACATAGAATCATCCTCATTATCAACTTGATATTCAGCAGAACCTCCTGCTTCGTGACTGTTTATATAGACTAAGTAGTTAGGTTCCATCTCTTCTTGAGTGTGAACGATCTTCTTCAGAGCTCTGCAGACAGATGACACATGGACATCAAGATTCCTCTCATCAAGAAGCCTATACTTCATCTCAGTCAAGGTGATACAAGGGTTTTGTCTCTTTAAACATTCTAGAAAGTCCAAATCAGCAGGCTGCAGTTTACCATGTTTATGACGCATGTCATTCCTGGTTTCATAACCAGTGAAGCTGCCCTGATCTCTCCCCAGTTCCTTCTTCTCTGGTGATGTAATATTGCTCTGAACCATCAGTTCATTGTCCTCATCATACATCCCTGATGACATACTATCGTTCACTGAAATATCTGTCACATGTTGATTAACAGATTCACATCCTGCATGGAAATTCTGGGCTTTTGCATGACAAAACTTCTTTGAATAATTATTCCTACCATTTTCCAGAACTTGTGGATCACTGTCAGACAAATCTACAACCAAACTATCATGAATGTTTCTTTTGGTGGGCATCCGCATTTTCCTTGACAAATGTCTGGAGTGTAACTGTTCATTATAGACAGGCGATGATTTTGACTGAGGAACTGTTGCTTGCTTCAAAACATTTTCACCAAAAATGGTGACATTGTCATTGATGCCTCTTGAAGTCCATTTCTTCATGACAGAAGGCTGCTTTTGGTGCAGCATCATGTGCTGACCATGCAAAGTCACAGAACTCTGTGCTCCAGAGGGTGAACCTACCACTATGCTTTCATCCCTGTTCCTTGATGAATCTACCCTTCCCTGTCTCTGGGCTGTTGGATTCTCACGGATATTACGATGGGTAGCCATTGCTGATATTTTGGTAGTTAGATTATGCAAGGAGATGAGCAAGCCCCTTTGCCTTTCTAACTGTTCCCTGACCTCCTCATTGGTTAAATATGGTTTCCTATTCAACAAATAGGTCAAGAACATTTCATCCTGGGGTAGGAAGTTCTTATGAATCCACTGTTTCCTGTCCTTCATCAAATCCACCTTATTTCTTGAATTATCAGAGTCTCTGTGTCTTCCATTAGACCTATGTTCAGATTGTGAGGCTTTTTCCTCCAGATATTCAACTTGGCAAATTGACTCTATGTTTCTTTGAGAATTTAGAAAAGCTGCTTCTTGAACGGAACTCTTCCTCTTCATTGCTCTGGAGACAGTTGAGACATGAACCTCAACACCTCTTTCGATGCCGAGACGTTTTCTTATTTCGGAGAGAGTCAGTATTGGATTCTCTCTCTTTAATCTTTCAATAAAGCAGACATCCTCCTTGGTGAGTTTCTTTCTTATCTCCGGTGATTCTTTGGGAGGAGGATGTATTGGTTTCCTCTTTTGATAACCTTCACCGGTTTCTTCAGCACAAGGGTCCCATGAGGTGTCATCATCTTCAGCAATATCTATCTCTACATAGTGACCCAAATTCACAGAATTTGTTTCATCCCAATTTCCAGAAGTATATCTTGTCATCAGATCAACACCATCCTCCATCGAGCTGGGATCACTGTCAGTTGTCTTTGAAGCATCTCTCCTTGAAACATGAGGTACTGAAGCATCTGTCTTTGAAGCATCCATCCTTGAAGCAGCTACCTTTGAAGCTTGCCTTGGATGATGCCATTTCCTTTTGCTGACTTTAAGCCAAGGTAGAGTTTCTGGTGGAATCTGGACAGAGGTACGAGTGTCACCAACCTCCTGGTCATGGTGGTGACTGTTTACGTCAGTGTTGTAGCTATCATTATTCTGATGTGGAGATTCTATTGACCCATCATCTTCAATTCTGGAGTCCACAGGAACATAGCTTGAAGACTCACGAGGAACTGCTGCATTATCTACATATTCTTCCTGCTTAATCTCTGAATTGTCACAAGACAATACTGTCTTCCTCACTGAATATTCACTTGTATTTTCAGTAACTTTTATGCCTTGATGAAGGTTTTTCCTTTTTCCAGACACAGTTAGAGTTTCTCCAATATTTCTGTCTTTGATTGTTGGAAAAAGTGCCCTTCCAGACTCCTCATCAGAAGCAGGTTCTTGCTTCACATGTACATGATACGGCATGGGTGTCAAGGGATTAGGGTCATCTCTCAATGATGTATTTGATGTTTCAGGCCTGAAGGAAAAATATACAGCTGTGAGAATCTATAGCCATTGTTCAGAGCAATTCAGCATGTTTGCTATTATTTAGAGATATCAACCATGAGCAATAATGTAATTTTCTGAGTAAAATTGATATTTTATACTTATCCTGACTCATGCTTATTGCTTGTCTTCTTCCTCTTGCGAACTTAGTGGAACACTTGTATCTCCTATTGAAGCTCCCTTCAATAAAACAGACGTAAAATCACTACTCACCAGAGTTGTCTCTATCTCAGTTTTGGCGGGAAACTGTGGCGCCAGCGCCGTGCTCCCACGCTTCGCTCTCTCCTGACTATGAGCCCGACACTTGAATTTGCAGGGAAATCCAAAGTGTCTAGTGGGGAGGTTGGGAGGGCTTACCTCATGAGTCAGGATAAGTATAAAATATCAATTTTATTCAGAAAATTACATATTTTTCCTTATCCTGACTCATGCTTATTGCTTGTAGAATCCGACGGATTGGAGGCGGGAAAGTTACTTTAGGATTTCATGTAGTGATTTACGTCAGCTATACCCCCCTGCGGGAACTTCGTATTGGCACTGTATTTACTGCTAATCTCTGCTGCTGTTGCGACCCTGTCCTTCCAGCTGCCTTTTGATGGGGGGACCACAATTGTTAACTTTTGGTCCTTTCTTCTGTTAACATTTTATGTGGATTTTGCGACTCCATCTTTTGATGCAAGCACCAAGTGGAGAAGCGACCCTTTCCTGTACGAGTATCCTTACAAGTACTGGGTCATATCACTTATGCTAGTCGTTAGACGTGCATTGAGACTTAAGCAGAACTCTGCTGAGTGTAGGCTTTGTAAGTCATGTGATAAAAGGGCGAGACTTTGTCTCAACGCCTTTGAGGGACTGTCAACTGTTGTGCTACAACCAGAGGGCCGAAATGGTGAATGCCAGAGACGTCCTCTGTGGCGATGTCCCTCAGGTAGTGGTTTGCAAACACCATGTCTGATTTCCAAAAGCAGCCCTCCATTATCGTCTTGAGCGAGCAATTCTCAGCAATTCCCATGTTTGCGATTTCCAAAACAGTGTTGGATTTCCAGGGCTCCTAACTTCGTGTGAGGTTGGAGGCTCTAACCGTGTGGGAGGATCTAGTCCTGCTGCTTTGTAGGCCCGTGAGTATGACAGTTCTAATCCAGATTGATATCGTAGTACAGGGAGACTTCCGTCTGTGTAAGCTGTTGATATCTCGGGACTAAAAAGTCGGCTTGAACTTGCGTCTCCTGACTCTGGATTGTGTAGATATACTTTAATGCTCTCACTGGGCACAAGGATAGGTCGCGTATCTTGTGGTCCAAGGACGGAGGATAATGCTGGGGCGCAGTAGTCGGAACTTCCTGGGTTGCGGAATTGTCTGTCCAGTTGACCTGGCAGTTGATTCTTTTGCGATGAAATCCCATCGTAGGTCCCATATGCACTGTGTTTTGATTTTCATCAAAGCATGTTCTCTCCCAGTAGTCCAGAGCATGTATTTCCAGTGCTCCCATCTCCTTGATACTGTTTATCTCGATGTAACATCCATTTCGCTGGAGACGGTTGAGTGGATGGGAGAGGGCGCTGCGTTTAGTCCTTGCCAGGATATGCTGAGAAAGCAGAGCGTCCATGTTGATCTATGCTTGTTTATGTAAAACGCCACTGTGGATCTGGTACTGGTGAGACTACTGCTTTCATTTCCAGCATGTTGATGTGCAGACTTTTCTCCTCGTTGTTCCATCTCCGCCACAATGTTGTCAGCTGATTGTTGAAGCTTGTGGGGCCGTGGTCGTCCACCATAGTCGATGAGGTCTGAGATGAGCATTGATGAAGACCTGTAGCGGGCGTAGTTGTAACCTCCTTCTGGCTGTCATGTCTTGTGCGGACGTGAGGAGACCCAACAGACTCTGCCATTGTCGTAGTGGCCACGGAGAGAGTAGGGCTTGTGAGATTGTCTGTTGAATCTTGAGCCAGCGGTCCCTGGTACGACGATGCGGTTCTGCGTCGTGAGAAATCTGATGCCTAGGAACTGCAGGTCCTGCGTAGGTTCTAGGTCCGATTTGAGTAGATTCACTAGCCACCCCAGTTGTGTAAGCAGTCTGATGGTGAAGTCCAGCTGTAGTCTGAGACGCTTGGGATCATCATGTACTTGAATCCCGTCGTCGAGGTAGAAGGCACTGCGTAGACCTCGATGATGTAGGTATGCGACTATGGGCTTCGTCACCCTTGTAAACAACCAGGGGGCCGACGATATTCCAAATGGCAGGACCTTCCATTGGTAGTGTAGACCGTCCAGTGTAAACCTGAGGTACTTCCTCGAGGCCGGATGTACAGGAATATGCAGGTAGGCGTCCTGTAGATCTATGCTGGCCATGTAGTCCATCGGACGGATGAGGTGGAGTAATTGAGGTAGATGTATCATGCGGAACTTGGGAGGTCTGCTTAGATAGTCTCTGTTGAACGCCCTCATATTGTAGATAAGTCGGAACTTTTCTTTGGAGTTTTTCTTGGGCACTAGGAAAACTGGGGAGTAGAACCCTGGTGTGATGTGGGCTGGATCCATGACTTCTATGGCTTGCTTCTCTAGTAGAGATGTGACCGCCTCTCGTAACCTCTCTGTCTGATGGGTCTTGAAGTCGAACTTGTGAGGGTCGACTGTAAGCGGCGGAGCTGCCTGTAGTTGTATGCGATATCCATCTCTTAGGATGTTGGATACAAACGGATTTTGAAGTATTCCCCAGTTTCCCCAGTACCGTTGAAGACGTCCACCCACTTGTGAAGGTTGTACGGGAACGGCTGGGGGTGGAAGACTCCAGTCGTTCCGAACCCCTCTTTCATCGTCGATGATCCCTGACGCCTCTGGGTGCCCTGCCTCGTCTAGCGGGTCGTCCTCTATAGGTGCCGGCTGGGTGACGAAAAGAATCTTTTCCGCCTCTGGAGGTACTCATTTTCTTGTCCCGTGCCTTCTGGATCCCAGCGAACTTCGACCTGCCCGAGTAGCGCTGGGATGTTTGCCTGATGACGCTGGCCAGTGTATCTATGGACTTGATCATGAGGACCTCTCTGGAGTCTTTGGTAACTTCCTTGGCGACCTCGTCAATTTCTCCAGCGAAGATGGATGGAGTTGACCACGGGGCTGTTTAGAGTGACTTGGTGAAGCGTTTACCCCAGGAGCAGGAGGCTAGTGTCAGCGCTGCGGAGATCGATGAGAGATGGTCTGTCATAAATTGTTGGTCCTTCTTCTGCATAAGGAGTGCAGAGTATATCATCCTGTCTTCTTCCGCAGTAGAGTCCCGGAACTTAGCAATGAGTGTTTCGTTGACTGTTCTTGATCTGTTAAGGCCGAAGAACATCCTCCTGGTCATCGTTTCGACTTGTGCCAACTTCTTGTCTTCGATCTTATAAGACCTTGGCCTTGGCATCGCTGATGACTTTGAAGTTCTCGTCGATGTCCTGTGCTTTGAGGAACGAATCCATGTTATGGGATGAGAACTTTTTGGCGTTGAACTGTGGCAGATGCGGTGCCTGGGCTTTCGTGGCATTCTTGAAGGCCGCATCCAAATTCTGTGGAACCGCTGCGATGGGATCAATCGGTGGGAGAGTGATCGTGTCGACGTCCTCATCCTGCATGAGATAGGTATGAGCTGTATTCTCGTTCTTACAGGGCGACGCCAAGTCCAGACCGTTTGCCATCCAGTAGCATATCTCGGAGTCAGAGAAGATGATCCCGCCGTCGTCCTCAGTGACAGGATTGCTGAGTAAAGGATGTTGTTCCTCCTCCGGCGGTGATCTGGGTGGTGACCTTTGCGACTGCGGGGACTTTGCGACTGCGGGGACCTGCGTGGAGACCTTCGTGGAGACCTTCGTGGAGACCTGCGAGGGGAGGAGCCCGGAGAACTGCATCTGTAGGGTGACCTGCGCGGGGAGACCTGCGCGGAGATGAGCGACTATTGGTTCGCGAATGCCTCTGAGAATCCCTCAACGATCTGCGTAGGATGCGGAAGAGGCCTTGGAGACTGTATCCAAAGTCCTTCGTGAGTGCCTTCGCAAACGCTGATCATCTGAGTCCGCATCAGGGGATAGGCGACTGGTCCTTCACGAGTGTCTTCGCGAATGCTGGTCGTCCGAGTCCGTATCCGGGGATGGGCGAGAGTCTTCGCACGAGTGCCTTCGCGAATACTGATCGTCCGAGTCCGCAGCAGGGGATGGGCGAGTCGTCCTTCACGATTGCCTTCGCGAATGCTGATCGTCCGAGTCCGCAGCAGGGGATGGGTGAGATGTCCTTCGCGCAGGCTGGTCCTGAAGGGTAGATCGGTTCCCAGACGCCACGTTGGTGGAGGGCCTCTCAGAAGCGTTGTCTGCGTTGGAGCCTTCGCTGAAGGCTCGGGTCCTCTCTGCGGCCTGGCTGTGATACCCTCTCCAGTCGAAGCGCTGCTCCATCATTTCCATGATCTGTTGGGAAAACTGCTGCATGAAGTCCCCCGGGTTGAAGGTCTGCGGTGGTAGAAGAGCTGCCCTTTCTGCGGTGATAGCAATATGGCCCAAGGATCGCTCATCTGCCGTCAGCGTAGATACCTCGGGCTGCGTGGATATCTGCGCTGAAGTCACCGTTGCTGAGACTGGCCTCTTCTTGTGAAGTATCTCTGGGATGATGAGCGGCTGCTCATCGTAGAGTCCCCGTTCCGACAACGGGACAATCTCGGCCGAGAATGTCCGTGTGGTCTGCGCTGACTTCCCCGTAGAGGTGGTCGACGCCCTGGGGGTGCGGAGCCAGCGCTGGGTAGATGACGACTTCCTCGTCTTAGGCTGCGACGAAGGGACGTCCGGAGTAGCAGGCCTTTTCTTGGAGGTGGCGGACATCGTCCCAGGCCCGTCCCCCGAGGAAGTCTCCGGCGTATCACCAGACGGAAGGGGGTTGTCTGACATCAGTTGACTCGTGAGGGACTCAGCTGGTTTATCCATGACCTGACAAACCCGTCTCGACCTATCTGCAGCACGTCTAAGGACGCAAAGAAGGTATTTATTAAATTCAAAATTAGTTAAATGCTGGCAATGAATGCAGCGCGAGCTGGAAGAACATGTCTGAATGCAGCTAGGGCACAGTTGATGAGGGTCAGCAGCAGAGAACCGAAGTCTACAATTGAAACAGGTTTTCATGAAAGGTAAACAACTGAACAAACACGGACAAAACCGTGAACAAACAGTGCTAAATACAACTAAATATCAAACCATATTGTTGAAGGATACTAACTAAACCTCTCTAAAAGTAATATAGAGGGGAATAACTAAGAAATAAAAGGATATAGTGCCGTATAGGAGACACAGGCGCTCTCACAACCTGCTCACAGGGCGAAGAAGGAGAGAGTGAAGCGTGGAGCACGGTGGCGCCACAGTTTCCCGCCAAAACTGAGATAGAGACAACTCTGGTGAGTAGTGATTTTACGTCTGTTTTATTGAAGGGAGCTTCAATAGGAGATACAAGTGTTCCACTAAGTTCGCAAGAGGAAGAAGACAAGCAATAAGCATGAGTCAGGATAAGGAAAAATAATTATTATATTTCATGTAAAATAGGTATCCTCTTCATTAAAACTGCAACATTGAACTTAGCATGCCAAACATCAAGTTGTTTCGGTATTGTACTGGTATTGTACAGTGAAAAAATTGTCTGCTACAAAAAATCTCCTTACATGATTCAAGTGTATCCCCATAATTAGTATCAGCACTTCAGTCAAACATCACCACTTGACATACATTCGATGGCCCAAAGCACTTCAGTTAACATATAATTTATTTACAACAGTAATTTCATAGTCATTCTTTCCCCTTTTCAAAAGTATTACTGTGATTACCGTTTATATGTAAAGATGTATTTCCTTACCTATTACTTTCTGTATTCTTCATAGTTTCATGAGGGTTTTCCTGCGCAGACAGATCACTGCCATCTCGACCAGGTAGAAACTCATCAAATTCAGACAAAACCAATGCTGGCTGACCAAACACAACAGTGTAAGGATCTTGAAAAGCTGAAGGCCTCCTTGCCACATTCAATTTCAACATGATTTCTGGGAGCCAATCTGACCACTCTCTCTCATTATAGCCTTCAGCTGCAATAAGGCAAATGCTGTCATGTATAAAAGTCGCTACCTCATCATTTTCTTCTGTTTCTGAATCTTGAGTTTTAATCTTGATGCCATCAAGCACAAACGAAAGACTGCTACCTTTACAGGAGTCTGAAACTTCATCAAGCACCTTGGTAATATTTGGTGTATCAACGCTGGAAAAATTCTTAGGGGGACCAAAATAACTTAAAAAATATCTCTTTAAATTTTTGGCTATTTCCCTTGAACTGTCATTCTTCAAAGGAAACAAGACACTAAAGTTTGAAAATTGATCCTCAACATGACCAATGAAGTAAAATTCATTTGAAGGTTTCAGTCTCATATCTATGATGTTGACAGACACATCCTGCAAGAAGCAAGAATCAGCTTTGTTGATCACTTTTATGGGTCTGGCTGATGCCTTCATTTTGGAAGAAGTCTGAAGATGACTGTCTGAAATGCTATCACTTGTAGAATCGGCTTGACAGCAGTCACATCTTTTCACAAATTCAGAAATATAATCTTTTGAAATGTCATAATAAAGGTCAGACACAGACTGAAGTGTTTGAGTGTAGTTTCCATGATTTAGCACATACACATGAATATCTTGTACTTTCCCATAGATCTGATTCTCATGCAAGACCCTGACATAACCCTTGGATGTGCTCCCTTCCTTAGGCACCACAAGTACCTCAGTTTGGTCTTCATCAGGCAGCTGCAAGAGCTGGAAGCGTTGGCGCTGGATCCAACTCTTGAACCGATAGGAAGCTCCTGTGCCTAACTTCAAATACTGGACAATTTTTTCATATTTGTTCTTTGATATTAGAAGCATATTTCTTCCATTCTGACATTTTGCCAAGATACTGTCCAACTGCTTTTTGTGTGTGTCCATTCTTTTAGAACCTGAAATAATTAATAGAATACAAATTAAATACTGTGTATACAAGGATTACAAATAGTAAAGAATGAGTTAGAACTTACACTGATATATATTAATGAAGATTTTCAAAGTTAGCTGTCATCAAATGAATATATGAAAGCATATATATATTTTGAACATTTTATGTCTCCCTGACATAAAGAATTAAATCATGGCAACACCAAAAAAGATCTGGGTTAGAATTGGTCTTCAGCAGCCATGGTCACGACTAATGGGATCTGGTGGTCAGGCTCACTGACTTGGTTGACCCATGTTATTGTATCCCAATTGCGTAGGTACATGCTCGTGCTATTGATCACTGGATAGTCTGGTCTAGACTTGACTATTTACAGACTGCCTACATATATCTGTAATATTGGGGCATTAAATAACCATCCAACCTACCACCAAATATATGAGACAGTTTTTTTGTTCATGTTACAATATATCTACAATGTAAACAAGGAAGCTTTCTGTTGTTTGTGAATTAACAGGGTCTGAATTAGGGTTTCTACATAAGAGAATGTTACATTGTTTACAACTGATATTCACACATGGGGATTTAAGGTACCCTGCAACCCATGATTGTCTAAAGAGGTGAATGGATCATGTCATCAGTCTCAGTGAAACATTACATTGCATTTATGGGGCGGTGGGGTACCCTAGTGGTTAAAGTGTTGGCTTGTCATGCCGAAGACCCGGGTTCGAATCCCCACATGGGTACAATGTGTGAAGCCCATTTCTGGTGTTTCCCGCCGTGATGTTGCTGGAATATTGCTAAAAGCGGCGTAAAACCAAACTCAGTCAGTCATTGCATTTATGCTCATGATGTCAATCACTGGATTGTCTGTTCTGGATTTGATAATAGGAGACTGCCAGCACACCTGGAATATTGCTGAGAGAGCCAGTGTTAAACATATATAATATCTTAATATTGATTACCTGATCACCACATACTACCAACACTGCACTTGGGAAACATCAGATACTGCATCAGGAACTTTGTTATTACGAACGAGGAATGGGAAAGGGAAGGTGTGTCAACATGTATGTGCATTTGGGAATGTTCACTTACCGATTTTACTGATTTCATAATGTCCCCGATTTATGGAAAGTAATCAATAAAAATCTCCAAGGTGATCAGCGACAAGCCATTTCGTGATATAGACAAAAATGTTATATTACTGAAGCGTTTCCTGACATATTTCTGAAAAGTAATATGGACAAACAATCGGCGAAATTCAACACCGGATATGACATAAATCGACTGGCGCGCCATATTTAATTCTAATCACGGTCTGCAGCAGTCCGTTTTGATTCACATTCGTTGATCACAGCCCCTCCCACAAAACGAGTCCGTTGGGGGGACTTAAGTCACATTTTGTTAAAAGCTCCGAAGTTAAACCGTAATTATTTACCTTCTGCTTAGGTCCAAGTGACTGATATCATCAGAATGTGCGGTGGCACAAAAACATTTCTGGACGAGGAACGCCAATCTCCCTTGTTTGTTTACATATCTTATATTAACAGGAAGTATGTAGACGGAAGTGCTGGGTGAGTAAAAGTAGGAACGAAAAAGTAATGAACACGGATTTCAACTTTCGTGTTTGGCTCAGGACGTCAGAAACATAACAAATCGATTATTGTAATGTGTATACACATTACACAAACAGGGTCTGAATTACACATTACACAAACTCTTGTATCGTTGAAACTGTTACTATAATCAGAGTGTGGGCAGCAGTGAAGATTTTTATTTTCCATTTAAGAAATAATTACCTAATAACGATTGATTTCATACGAAAATAAGATAAACGTAGATCGATTGGTGAGCTTCAACAACCGAACAGCTGTTTTACTGTTTCGATGAGTTTCAAACACATAATTATATGTCGTAATATTCAGTCTGTCATAGCCAGAATAGGATCGTCATCACACCATAGCCTGACGTACCATAATCTGGCTGCCTTAATGTATAGTATCACAATCATAGCCAGGCTGTCTTAGTCACAGCAGAGACCATATAATAGATCTATTATATGGTCTCTGGTCAGAGTATAAGATCACTATATTACAATAGTTTCGCTATCTTAGGGTAGGTTCATTTTGATATGTGACAGTGTTTATTATGTAAGAATGTTCCAAGTGTAATACATTGTCTTTATGGATAGTCAGCGAAGGACAGTGGTGTGATATATAAGACGGAAGGTTCTACAGCGTTCTACTACGCCACCCCATTGGTCTTTCCACTGTTTTCTGACCAAGGGAGTTGAATAATTTTCAGGAGCCTGACACGTGTAATATCGTATCCCAATTGCGTAGGTCGATGCTCATGATGCTGATCACTGGATTGTCTGGTCCAGACTCGATTATTTAGAGACCGCCTCCATATAGCTGGAATATTGCTGAGTTTGTTTGAACATATTTTATTCAGTGTTGAAATGGATTGGGCACAAGTTATGTAACTTATTACCGCCCGCTACCATCAAAAACATGAACAATAATGATTGGACGTAATGGATGGACATAATAATATTGAGACATATTATTGATTAATTGAAGCGCTTACTTCGTACAATGTATTTATGCACATGTCTAAAGATATTTTATTGATAGTATTTGGCAGAGCAGGGTTGCCATAAAGAATGGTATTAATGTCTAACTGAACTTTTGATAGTTCAAAGTCTTTCTTCAGATCCAAACGGCAACTGACAAATTTTGGACATTTTAAGAAGAAATGGTTAGCATTTTCCACCGGAGCACCATAATTGCAAGCTCTACTCTCTGATAGATTAACACGAAACACATCTGCTTGTAATGAACTACACGAATGTCTTAACTTCGTGTGTAGTATATTTGTCTTTCTTTCACCAAATAGAAAATATTTTGGAACCTTGTCATTATTTCCAGATAACTTTGATTTAAACGATGATAATGAATTTGTACATTTTGTTGTAGAGGAGAGAGCATTCCATAAACTTGCAGAATCATAAATAAATGACTTTTGGAGAATTGAGGTGCGAAATTTAGGAACAGCCAAATCTGATTTGTTACGCAAGTTGTATCCGGAAATAGTTTCAGTAAAAGGTGGAAGTAAATCTATCAGGTAATCAGGAGCTTGCATATTAACAATTTTGTAGAATGTACAGAGTTTTCTTTGTGTTCATCTAACTTTCAATGGTAACCAACCAGTTTCACTGTATAAACTATACCTTGAAGCGAATTTAGGCAATCCGGTTACAATTCTTGCTGCTTCAAGTTGTAACATTTCAAGTTTATCACAAATATAGCTAGGGCAATTATCCCAGACCTCAGATGCATATTCTAAAATAGGCCTAATATACATTTCGTACATACTAGAAAGGATATATCTAGGTAATACGTACTTTAGCGTCCGTAATGAGGAAACAATTTTTGCGGCCTTTTCTATTACAGCAGATACATGATGCGTCGTTAAACAGCAAACCAACCAAACCACATTTGTAGTATTGTTCTCTGGCATATAAGGGGAGCTAACTCTTGCTTTTCACCCCACATTTCATCTCAAGTCACAAGTGCAGCAGCACCCTTGATACCCAGCCATTGGTGCATTGGTGTCTTTACTGCTGTAGTCACTGCTATTGTATTCTACTAACTTTGAATTGGCAATGCCTCTCCATTTTGTACTGCCACCGTAATACCGTTGTTGTGATTTTCATTAATTTGTTAAAAATTAACTAAGTTCATTTTAGAAAACAATTGTTAATTACATCCTGTCTCTTTGTTTTATGTTGGTTTCACACCGAGTGTTTTGCGGACGGGGGCGGTGGGGTAGCCTAGTGGTTAAAGCGTTGACTCGTCACGCGGAAGACCCGGGTTCGATGCCCCATAAGGTGCAATGTGTGAAGCCCATTTCTGGTGTCCCCCGCCGTAATATTGCTGGAATATTGCTAAAAGCGACGTAAATCCCAACTCACTCACTCTTTTGCGGACTGACTTCCAGTTAACTGCTGTATTAGTTTCAACTTCGGAACCAACACGTTACAGCAACATACTATTGCTGTCTTTTTGTGGGATCGTTATCATACCATAGCCAGACTGTGTAGGGTATCAAGCATAACACAGTCTGACTGTCTTAGCGTAGGATTAAAAGCTGAAACCTATAAACTATCCAACCACTATATACAAATACTTAAAATTGAAACATATAAACTATACAATCAATAATTCTTAAAACATGTCTTGGCAACAGACATACCACAGCCTGACTATTTTAGTTAAGTCAATCCCTAATCTCTCGAAAATAATTAGAATTTAGGTAAGTAAACTTTTCGACCTTACTTTTGCGATGAATATATGTATTTGTATTTACATGTATAAGTATTTGTAATAAGGCACATTTAAATTCTAACGCTCAAACAAAACTGACAAATTATAGCTCGTTGGGAAATACTTAAGAATGAATGAGTGACTTTAGTTTTACGCCGCATTTAGCAATATACCAGCAATATTGACACCAGAAATGGGCTTCACACATTGTGCCCATGTGGGGAATGGAAGCAGGTTTTTCGGCTTCGTACTTCATTAACACTTTAACCAATAGGCTCCCCCCGGCCCCAGTACTTACAAAAAAAGACCTTAAGCGTTTGACATCGTGGTCGAGGTTAAGGGGTGTATGTGATCAGCCGTCTGATCAGCCGTTCGTCATGGTAAACACTTGATAGTAGTCATAAATATTGACTCTTTTCATTCTGCTAAACCAGCAGGGTCATTGACTCATATTTCCATGGGGCGTCGGTGTGTTGTGTGCCGTAGTTTTCAATCTCGTGTGTAAATATGCCAAACATATTTGAATGTGTTGTTTTGACTGACCGAGAGTGTGAATGAGTTTGTATGTTGGTTTAATCGCAACAGTGTTTCAGCTGGAAGAAATTCCCAAGTGGTACAGGCATTTTTACAACATAGGTGAAACCAACGATTGAGAAACAACATTAAGAAGTTTGTTTGTTGTTTAACGCCCTACTCTGCAATTATCAAGCTGTATTACTGCGGTTGGTAAATGCCTGATCAAGTCTGGGGCTGACAAACCTGTGAAGGACGTCGTCGGCGTACCGCGTTGTGGTAAGACAGACAACTCAAACCGGCCACATGATCTTTTGGCAGCCTAATCTCGCTCGGTGTAAGACAAAGCATAAATTGTATATTGAAAATTGTGTATGTATCCCATTCGCAAAACCACGTTTTCGTTCTTCGTTAACGCTTTAACCAATAGGCTTCCCCCACCGCCCCTAGTACTTACAAAAAAGACGTTAAGAGTTTGACATCGTGGTCGAGGTTAAGGGGTGTATGTGATCAGCCGTTCGTCATGGTAAACGAAGAGTTATTCTGAGGGATCGCCCATTTATTGCAGGATATTCCCTGTAATTAATGACCAGTCCCTGATCTTGCGTGCCTTTAAATTTTCTGCAGTATTTAACTCGTAAATTTCAGCCTTACATTCATTTGACAATGTTGGACTAACTCTTTCAAATAAACAGATATTACTAAAACTTTGAAACTTTAAGTGTTAAATGAGGGGTGCAGTAATGTTGTGTAATTCCGTAGTATCCTGAAATCGGTCACAAGGTCGAGTTAGGATCAGACAAACCAGTGACTATCATATGCAATTGGTTTTGTTTAACGCCACACTCAGCATTATCATTATTATTAAAAAGGGCTTACTTGATTAATTACATTTCTGAATTCTGTTATTTGTTTTATGGGCCATTCCTATTTCATTAGGAGGTAACAGGCAGGGGATTAGCTGTTCACTGAACCAGATAGTTTGTTGTTTTATCCTGTCTGACAAATGGTAGGATACCTTCCAGCTTAGTCTGTCTCACAGTCCCTGAACCACATTATTTTCCCTACTGCCAAGCCTCTCTGCAGTGCCAAAGCCCTAAATACAGCAAGTTTAGATTTCCTCAGGTTCTGAATCTCTGGTCTCCCTGGGGCTCATTTTCCATTTAAATGGGCTTGTTTGTTACTATCAAAATTATATATATTCAGAGACTAAGCATTAGTCTACTTCCAGCTGTATGACGACGGTTTGAAATAATCGAGTCTGGAACAGACAATCGGTGTACCCCCACTGTGCCCACTTTTCTTAAAACAACAAAATGCAGTCACCCGTAGAACAATAGAGGGATTAGTTATAGTCTGTTTCAAGGTAAATCTGGTGACACCGTGACCACAAGTCTGAATACATAGGTGAACACATTTCAGAACAAATTGGTGAACACTAACAAATGTCACAGTCATGTATATATATAATAAAACGAACCCCCTACTTCATCATTCATCATCATGGCTAATACTCAAGTTGACGTCCAGTACATTGATAATGCACAGGGTGGACAAAAACTGATTTATGACAACTACTAGTATAAGTTTTGGGTTAACAACCGAAAGAATAATAGAGTCTACCGGAGATGCTGTGTCAAAGACTGCCGAGCGACACTGAATATGACTGAAGGACTTGTCACTAAGTACAACAACATTCATTACCTGGAGGTCGATCCAAACAGACTTTCTGCTGACAAGTTCTTGACTCATATCAAGGACCTTGTTCGACAGGATAGATCCTAGATAAATTATTATTTCAAACTCATTACACTTATGTCTTGCTGAGTTAATGCCAGTTACATACTAGTTCATGAATTACGTATGTAGTTTATGACTTAAGAGTTAAGTAGTCTATACTATATACCACTGCCCACTAGCCTGATACTGACTATACCCTAATCCATCTGTTGTTTTAACACTGCCCATTTCCAAAAGTGGGAGTAAACCCAGACAATCCAGTGATTGCCATCACGAGCATCGACCTACGCTTTTCTAACGCTACTGTTACGCCTGGATGAACCGTGACCAATTCTGAGGCAAGAGGAACAGTCGTGTTTAGCCATGTTCTGAGAAGACCAAATAAGCAAGTTGCAACACATATTAAAGATAACAAACTCATTAGTGTAAAGCAAAAACTGCTCTTTATTCGGTGTAAAAATAAATATTTATATAAAAATATAAAATAAAATATCTCAAAGGTGTTTGAACAAAAAGACTACAAAACGCAAACATAGATGATTGAGCACACGTTTTTCGCAAACTTGTCTGATTGGTGTAATGACAACAGTTTCTCCTCAGTTCACTTCAACTGGCGGCAGGCTTCTGAGCAATAATCCTCAGGACAGTAGCCACGTGCACAGTTGCCAAGACACCAGACAGTGATTTTTGGGTTTCCTTCCCAAACCCCCGTGGCCTTACAGTCGTCGCTATTTTCATCGCTCTTGTCCGTTGTGCTGTCGGTAATGCTTGTGGTGGTGTCAGACGTCGCAGCTGATGATGGGGAAGAAGTGACTGTTGTCGCTGAGGTAGAAGTCGTTGTAGTGTCGGTTGATGGTTTTGTGATATTTCGTGATTCAGATGTCGTCTGTTCGACGACGGGTTTCGTAGTCTCCTGACACGGAGAGGTCTTGCTTGTAGAGGGTGGCGATGTCGTCTGGTCTTTGTCGTCTGCAGAGATTGCGACATCTGCGCAGCCGTAGAACTGTTCCTGGGGCCCGCAACCAACGCAACAAGTTGGGCCCTCACATCCCCAAGAGTTACCTGCAATCAAATCAGACGTTAAAGCGGCTATCATCACGGCATTTTCACTGTGCAAAGGGCACATGTAACGTAAAACGTCGGACAAACGAAAGTATACATTTAAAATGTGGAAAATATTTACAAACGTTGGCTAAAAACACTCGCCGAAACACGCATGTCCCTATTTACATGTCCAGTCTAGACATTCGGCGTATGTTCATTCATGAGTGAGCGGTCTGTAAATAATCGCGTCTGGACCAGACAATCCAGTGATTAAGAGCATTAACATCGATCTACACAATTGGGATACGATGACATGTGTCAAGCAAGACAGCGAGCCTTACCACCCGATCCCGTTATTCGCCTCTTACGACAAGCATGAGTTACTGAAGACCAATTCTAACCCTGATCTTCACGGGTAGTTCATTTATGATAAAACATGTTAGTACCTGTATTGTATTTCCACTGAAGGACACACTGAGAGCATGTGACATTCTCTGGAAGTACGACCGTCATGGTGTATATTCCCCGTCGTGCAGTGGTGACTTTGAAGCGGGCAGTTCCGTCTGTTAGCCTGAGAAGATGCCTGTCCAAACATTCCTGTTTAACTGGAGTCTGTGGGCTATTGTGAGGGCACAAGCGGAACTGGAAGTACCCTAACAAAATGAAAAAAAATCATGTCATTATAATTGTAATGAAATGACCCGCTCAAAAATATATGCCAGTTTTGATTAAGAATCTTGAGTTGGTGTAGAAATTGGATGTGATAAATTACCACAGGTAAATGTCATACTAGACTAAAAAGAATCTAAAGAAATATGAGTGGGGTTATTTTAATTCTCTTTTTGTATTATGCATTTATCTTAATATCTTATTTATGCAAATATAGTATTTCTTGAAGAGGTTAGAGACCGGAAGTCCATATAAAACCTACCCAAATGATTGGCTGTAAGATCAATGTTGATGGTGATTGTCTCCCCTTTTTTGTACTTCCGGACAATAATGCCATTGGCATATTTTCCTCCAGCCTCGTTTTCGCGTTTTGCGTTCCAAGGATCACCGCAAACACCACACTTCCCACCGTTTACACCCCACTGTGTCTAGAAATCCGAAAAACCTTCACAGTCAGATGTATGTTATCAGGAGAAAACACGACATACAGATATATACTTTCATGAAAACCTGTGTTTTACTATAAGTATAATTGCAAGATTCAGTTATCCCACAGGTAGCGGTAGAACACGGTTCGTATTGACAAACCAATGGTTTGTTTGATTATATTTTATTCAGTATCGAAAGGGATTGGACACAAGATATTCAGCTTATTAACGCCCGCTCCCGAAAATTACATGGAGAAAATACATGTAATGGACACTGAACAGAAGCAAGACATATTACACATTAATTGAAACGCTTACTACGTACAATGAATTTATGAACTTTCCTTTATAGTTTGTGACAGACTAAGGCTGCCGTGCAGTATGCTCTTAATATCTAAGCTAACTTTAAGGATATTAAAGCCTTGTATCAAATGAAACCGGTAGCATTTTAAAAGAAATGATTGGCATCTTCCACCAGAGCACCACAAAGGCAAACTTTACTTTCAGATAAATTGACACGAAAAACATCATTTCAAGAACTACGTGAATGTCTTAGTGTGTAGAATATTAGTTAATGGTTAGTATTAGGTCGAGTCTGATATTGGAAATCGTTATCATAGGATCCTGAAATGCACAAGCGACTGAACTCTGCACAGCAATTTGACAAGAATAAGTAAATAAATATAAAACAATAACTGGAAAACTAAGTTAACAAAATTAATCGCTACACAACAATCACATCCAGCTCACCTGAAATCCTCCGCAGTAGAGTTCGTTGTCGTTGTAGTTGCGGGGGTTGTCAAAGCCGTACCGCCACATACTAGAGCGAGAAGGGGGTTCTACCAAACGCCCGTGCCCTTGAACGTCGGGAAGAACCATCAGACAAATGCAGAAGACCAGAGTGATGACAGTGGGAAGCATGTTGAGATGTCGTCTGCGGCAATGAAACTGTCGTCTGGGTCAAGATAAAACGTTACGTTCAGTGTGTCTGGAAACTCTGGTGGTGTTACTTTGATGTACTGGATCGTTCTCTTCGGAGTCCGGTGAGATATTGTAATCAGGACTGGAAATGGGGTCCATATATACTCCGAAGCGCCACGCCCAGATCGTATCTGATTACAGATGTGCATCACGAAAGACAATATCAGTGATTTCTTTTTTCCGGAATTATGACTCACGTGACGTCATAGGTTCAAACTCGAGAGCTCGTACGCACCTGACTTCCCTCGATACGGCAATTTACATAGGTAACACCCTCCGCTCTCCGTCCAATAAACCAGATATGTTTGTCCACTCACGGACCTGTCAAAGCTTAAGGATCATACTTCAAATCCTGGGAATCGACTCGAGCAGAGGTCGTTCCGTGATCGCGTGGTGTTGTGTTTCTTAGCCACATGTTATGCATGAAGATCGTATCTGGTCGACTGTTGTGTTCTAACGATATCGCAGCACTATGCATGGGAAATCACGTCTGCCTTTCGTTTTTTCTTCAACAATTACTGTGTCTTTCTTCACGTAAACAGAAATGATATTGGTTGTCATCTGTTCTGCCCTGAAACTAAATACTGATATCCATCTAATTTTCATAGACTCAAGTCAGTACACATACGCCATGGTATTGAATGAAAGAAGATTGCACGTAGACTTCGAAAGCAGTGGACGCGATAAAGCATAACTATTTTGAAGACAATTCGATAATTGTGTAAAAATCAAAGACAAGATTTGCCTGCACACAGTCATACCAAACAAACTGTGTGCTCTTTTATATCTACATCGGGTGCACTACTTGTTCCAACTCAGTAAACAGAAGAGCACTCGGTTTAACGCTGTTATGGGTATGACATTTTCATTAGAATGCGTATTTCATGTTTAACAACGCAACATATGAGTGATATCGGAGCAATGTGCCCTCCCTTGTTTATCGGTGATAAAACCCAAGCCTGTGAAATTGGAGAAGCGTTGATGATTACCTGTTGTCGCCAGGGTGGACGTTCACAATGTTGGGACGCTACCCTTCCCTCCCCCTTCCTATTCGCACGGCACACCTCCCATCTTTTCATTATCACCTTTCTGTGAAGACGGTCATCATGAACTAAGTACAAAGTTTAATCCAAGCTAAAAGTGCACGTAGTTATATCATACTATATATATATACTTATGTATGTTTCAATTATAGAATTTATTATGACTAATAATTATTTTAGGACAGTATTCTTTGACGATGCTGCCTGAAATATTAGGAGAGTATATCATTAAATCGTAATGAATGCGGAGCGTCCCCGACCCGACCCCCATACAAGCAACCGCACGCAGTTCTTCCTTTCTCACTTCTTTGGCCTTTTTGCCCCCTAGCTCTTCTTTCTACTGACTATCTAACAGACTATGTCTATCTCTCTTCAGAAGGAAGACAAAGTGATGAGAGAGCCAATAGGAGGCAAAAAGTCGAGAGAGATGGGAGAGAGTCAGACGGAGAGAATAAAGGAGAGAACCAGGAGGACTGAAAAAGGAAAGTAGGAACAAGAGTGAGTGAGTGAGTATGGTTTTACACCGCTTTTAGCAATATTCCAGCAATATCACGGCGGGGGACATAGAAATGGGCTTCGCATATTGTACCCATGTGGGGAATCGAACCTGGGTCTTCGGCGTGACGAGCGAACGCTTTAACCACTAGGCTACCCCACCGCCCCAGTAGGAACAACAGGGTGTGGGAGTCAAACGGAGACTAGGGAGAGTCAGATGAGTGTGAGGAGAGAAAGAAGGGAAAGAGTCAGAGGAGAGAGAAAAGGGGGAGAAAGACGAGAGAGAGCCAAGAGGAAGAAAAGAGGAGACGGAGACAGGGGAGAGAAAGAAGGAAGACGCGAGAGAGAAGAGGGAGAGAAAGACGGGAGAGAGCCAGGAGGAAGGAAAGTGGGCAGGGAGACAGAGGAGAGAAAAAGGAAGACAGGCAGAGGAGGGAATAGACTAAAAATTAGTCTCTGAAATGAACATATTTTACAGAAAAAAAAAGTTCATAATAAAAAATTGAATATAATGAAAAGTAACCCTGAGACTTTCATCATTTTCAGCCTGAAACTGGAAATCTAGACTTGCCACATTATCTAGACTTGCTTGGGCCTTCTTCGATATGTTTGTTTCGGGGTCTGTAATACACACTAAGGAGGGAAAGACGGGAGAGAGCGAGAAGAAAAAGGAGAGAAAGACAGGAGGGAGCCAGGGGAAAGAAAAGGGAGAGAAAGACAGGAGAGTGAGGAGAAATAAAGTGAGAGAAAGACAGGAGAGAGCGAGAAGAAAAGGGAGAGAAAGACAGGGAGCCAGGAGAAAGAAAAGGGAGAGAAAGAAAAGGGTGAGAAAGACAGGAGAGAGCCAGGAGGAGAAAGAAAAGGGAGAGAAAGACAGGAGCAGAAATAAAAGGGAGAGAAAACGAGAGAGAGCCAGGAAGGAACCAGGGGAAAGAGACAGAGGAGAGAAGGAAGGAAGACAGTCAGAAGGAGGGAGAGAGCAATGAGGAGTCAAAGAGGGAGGAGAGTCAGGAGAGGGCGAGTGGGGATGGGGTCGGGGGAGAGTATAATCTAACAACGACAAAGCATCAGGTACACGATCACCGTGACCCTCTGTGGTAAACTGAGAAGTATGCCCTGACGCCTGGTTACACTTAATGAGGTATCTGTCTCCACGACGTGTTGCAGTCCGACCACAAGATGAGTAACGTATGTCGCACAATGTTTGTCAACAGCGGAAATACAGAATACGGCCTTTGTTTACAATTACTCAGAGAAAGGTCTGGTTTCTATTCCTTCCTCCGCACGTTTCCACACCAAAATACAGGTGTGTTTCAGGTCTGGTTTAATCACACCACTTTTGTCATGAATCAACATCTTAGATTCCATATACAGGTAAACACTAAAACCTATTCACAATGCCAAGCGCACCCATCTGTCAAAGTTAAGAAATATCATTAAATCAACATATTTCACAGTGAGGGAAATAAAGGTTTGAATTACTTTTGGAATTAACATGTTACAATCCCCCCACTCATAGGAAATGACTTGTCACAGTTATTTCTTCAAAATATAGTTTACTTTTTATATACTGAAAACGTAACCACACTATGGTTTAGTTTAATTTGTGACAAGCGAAGAGTCGTCATTATCTTTGTTTCTTCAAACAATAGTTTACTTTTTATATACTGAAAACGTAACCACACTATGGTTTAGTTTAATTCGAGACAAGCGGAGAGTCGACATTTATCTGTTTCTTCTAAACATAGTTTACTTTATATATACTGAAAACGTAATCACACTATGGTTTAGTCGAATCAACAATACATCGAGTTGTCCGTAATTCGAGAAATGCGGAGAGTCGACATATCAGATCACTGTGCTAACTAAGTTGATATCGTAAAGTTACATTTACCTTCAATATATTTCGAACACAAGAAGACAGACAACTCGTTTTGCCACGACGTAGAGGTCAATATGCATGAAATGTGTCTGTTGCTTATTTATCTTTGTTAAGTATAGTAGACGACGGTTAAGGCGAACTCGTTCGTTATACGTATTTCGACAAATAGATAAGTAATAACCGGGACCTCCCAAAACAGCTCACTAAATCCGCCAGATCGTTATAAGCGTATTCTTTATAAACTGTAATATGTTATGTGTAAATCCGTGTTTAAATATGACTGATGAACTAATCATTGACATATGGTAATGTTCCATCACAATAAACACGTTCTTATCAGCAATAGTACGGACTTACAGGTTCCCGGACTAACGGGGTTTTCGTAATGTCAAGTGTCTGGACTAATGGAGTTTTGCTGAATATGTCAATAGATATATATGTGTATTCACAGGCAACGATGGTCATGTTGACTTGTTTGTAAATCGTGGTAATCAATGACTCTTAATACACAGGTAGGTCGTCTTAAAGACAAACCAGCCAACGTCATAGACGACGTCACAAATAAAGCCCTTTCAACATACCTTGTCTGTCTGTTACCCCAGTGTTATATTATCTAGGTCACTAAACCAATAATGCAAATTCATGTTTAATTAAAGAAGCACAGGCTTTAGATTCTGTCAGTTAATCGAATGTCCTAACAGCCCGAATACCCAGGTGAAATTAGTCTGACTCACAGTCCCTGAACCACATTTTCCCCTACTGCCTTGCCCTCCCTGCAATGCTTAGCAAGTCTAGATTTCCCCAAGTTCCCGCGAATCTCCCAACTCCTTTTTCAATTTAAATTTACTAGTCAATTCAATTTACTATCAAAATTATATATTTTCAGGGACTGAGCGTAAGTCTAAGGTGAAACCAGAAAAACATATTCTAAATAGGGCCAAAAGTTGTTATTACATGCATCACATACATAATCTTCCTTTCAAGACTGAATATTTGCTTCAGATACTTATTGCTACACTTTGGTAGAAAGTGCAGTTCGTTGCTGATTATTTTATTGCTGTAGGGTACATCAAGAATAAACTAGAAACATACAGATACCGCGAGCAAAGACAATGTCCCACTTTCATACACAGAACACTCAATAGTCTGTCTCGCAGTCCCTGAACCACATTTTCCCTTCCACACAGTTCTCCCTGCAATGCTTAAGCCCTAAATGAAGCAAGTCTAGATTTCCACAGGTTCAGGTTCCCTGAATCTACCAACTCACAGGGGCTCCTTTTCAATTTGAATGTGTTTATTTGTTACTATCAATATCATATATATTCAGGGACTAAGGACCGCCTCCGTGGTGTAGTGGTTAGAGCGTCCGCCCGGAGAGCGGAAGGTCGCGGGTTCAATCCCCGACCGCGTCATACCAAAAGACGTTAAAATATGGTACTTGTTGGTCCCTGCCTGGCGCTCGGCATTAAAGGGTACAACAAGGACTGGTCGGCTCGGAGTCAGTATACTGTGTCTGAGTGGGGTATTCATGCTTCACTGCGGCATGGTTTCTCAGTGGGCTAGCACTATAAAACCAGCTTCAGTCTGGGCTAGTACAAGCAGCCGCACACACACATACACACGCATGCAGGTCGTCATATGAGCGAAA